CGGCCAAATTCCACATGATGGAGTTCTCGAACATGAATTTGCATAACCGCACATTTGATGGAAAATACAATTCATTTTCACTTTAATTAAATTATGCAGTGAATATATCTGGGATCGTGGTGAGTGAGAAGCTTAATAAAACAACCAGGCCGCGTCCAAAATAAGCTGCTCATTCTACAGGCCACCCGAGTCTAAATGACTTCAACTTCCTTTCAAAAGTTCACCTAAAACTTCCTGGAAGCACAACAGGCATGCTCAAATGAAAATAAAGAGAGTTAATTGGTAAAAACAACAGCAATTATCAAAACAATGAAAGGAATGGAGACCAATAGGCGGAAAATGTCTACAAGCAGGCAATGCTTTTGGATTTTGCCTCAGAATATTGCTTTAAAAGTAACAGATTATGTAAACAGAATAAAGCTTTAATAAGCACATTCATTATTCTGTATTTTAAGTAATGCAAAAATACAAAATGTGACTGGATAGTCAACCTGAAATGCCATTTAAAAAAATGTTTGCCTATAAATATATTTATTTTGTTTATATGCAGCACCAACAAAAATAATTAGAGCAAATTATAATTTAATTAAATAATAAAACATAACAAAATACTAGCTTTTAAACGATAGGATTTGAACAGGTCAAGAAAAGTTGGGTCGGAGGGCAGGGGAGTAAAAGGAATTAGAGACGCCATCCAAGACATATCTAGGGCCTTATCAAATCCATTGTATTTTTTTCCAAATTCTGTTTTATTTTTTTCCCAAATTCCATTTTTTATTTTTCTGGATTCTGTTTTTTTTTTTTTTCTCTCTCTGTTTTAATTTTTCTAGACTCTGTTTTAATGGTTAAACTAAATTTTAGCAGAGAAAGCATGTCTAATTAATTGAAATAATGAAACTTACAATATTTAACAGCAATTTATTAAAAGTTTAACAAAAATAAAATTTTAAGGCGCTATGAAATGTTTTTTTTTACTCAAATTCAGTTTTATTTTTACCAAATTCTGTTTTACATAAATTTTCTGGATTCCATTTAAATGGTTTAATAATCAAAAGCATCTCTAATTAACTGATTTTATTAAACTAAAAAATATATATATTATTATTTTTTAAATTTTTCTGCTAAATAAATTCTGGGAAATAATTTTTCTAGTAAATATTCCTTTAAAAATAATATTTTAATAATAATTTTATTACTAGTAGTAGTAGTACTATCATTACATTAAGTAATATATTTCTGTCACAGTTTCTTCAAGTTAAACCGAACTTTTATTTTGACGGGTTGCGGAGAAGACCTTTAAGTTTTTGTTTGTATATGATATGACGATAGTTTTTCTCAAATGAAACGGTCAAATGCTCATGAAGTGACTCTCAGAGCAGTTCTAGAGATTATGTTTATGTGTTCATGTACTCAAATATCGAGGAGGCACAGGCTGAAAACATCGCAAGCATCACACACTTCAGTATGTGTGTAGTAAACGAAACCGCGTGTCTGCGCCATTCATACACATAGAGACACACAGAACATGCAGGATTTATATTTAACACTAGTCCATATCATGTTCTGATGTAAGTGTACTGACCTACTTTTGATTTATCCATCCAAAATTTGGCAAATTCCATGACATTCCGCGTTATACAGTAAATTGAATTTTTATGACTGGATTCCATGATTCCGTCCACGTTTTCCGCATCGCGGAAATCATAAGGCCCTACATATCACAAAAAAATTAATGAGCGAGGTTATAAATGTTTAAAAAAAAATCTTAAGAAATAAAGTGCATGTTATCTTTAAAACTGGAGTTTGCTTCATCATTATCTCTTCCCCCTCCTCTTCCTCTATCTCTTTCTCCATTCTGAGCTACTTTCCCAAGCTACTCTATAACAGGCCTGTGAAAGGAGGTCACATATCAACTTACCAAGTGTCCCTCTCTGACCATATGACCCCATCGGCAGTCCACGAGGCCCCATGTCATTCCATCACACTCTCTCTCGCTCGCTGTCCCCCCACATTCACGTCTTCCAAACCACCATCTAAAAGCTGCCCCCCTCCCCTCGTCTGCCCATAACCCGACACTAATTGGTAAATCTGTTGAACCATAGCACGCCCAACAATGAGACACCTGGAGTTCTGTCAAAACAAGTTTCCCTGTGAAATAGCCTCAAGTGCTAATACAGTACGAGTCCTGGCTAACGCCGCCTCGCGAATATAATGTGTGTGTGGTGGGGGACGTGTTATACAAAGGTGTAGTGAGGTGCAGTGCGGAGGGGAAGAGTTAATGGCACTTCTATTAAAGTTTAGAATCTCAGAAGTTTGGGAAGGAGGAGCACGATGCTGTCTGGCTCCACTGGAAGCCCACAGGAAGTCCTTGTGGAAGTTTTGGCACCGACAAAAATCCCAAACATTCTTGCAGTTCTTGTTCGACACCCTCCCCACCCACCATCCCTTCTGCGCTCTCTCTATTTTAGACAGACCATGAAGAGTGCTCTACGTAAACCTAGAGTGCTAACAGGGCAACATGCTGTGGTTTGTGTGAAATCATGTGCAACTAAACATGAAAACCTAACTGAGAACATGGAATCTGCATATTTGCTTGCCAGTTAGCTGAAACAACACACACAAACACAAGCAGCGACATACATGGAGGCATTAGGTCAACACATGGACAAACGATTGGATTTTTCACTCAAACAAGTTTTGACTTTCACAAACACATATGAAACAGATAGGCTATACACTACTTAAGGAACTCTTGGTGAACCTTGTCAAACAAGTTCTGACAAAAACTCTTTATGAAAACAAAACATTTCTGCCCCCAGCAATGAGTGTCAGAAAATAAAACATGAAGATTCATTGTTTTGTGATTTTATATACTGCCCCTAGACTTAACTAGCTTACCCAGCAACAATTCCTTATACTTTAGTCAACCAGCTACATTCTAGCAGCATCAAACCAGTGTGAACTAGCAAACTACCATGGAAAGGTAATGCTAGTGGCTGGATTCAAAGAAACATAAAAAAAAAAAAATTTCAAGAAATTTTCTTAATTTTCTTCTTATTTTCATACTTAAGAAAAATAAGTTAAATATTTTATATTCCAGAAAAAAATTAAAATATTAAGATAAAAAGATATTAATAACTAAGAATAACTATCTGACTCAAATTATGTCTCTAATTCTATGTTCAAACCAGTAAAAATTTGCCAAAACCAGTAGGAAAGCAATACTAACTCTAACTTGGGGAAATAATTTAATATTCCAATGTATATAACAACTACTTTATTCTTATTTTCTAACTTAAGAAAAAAAAAAGTAAAATATTTTGTATTTCAGAAAAATGTCTTAAAATATTTTTTTTAATAAAAAAAATCTTCTTAAAAATAATTCTAAATAACTTGAAACAACTAAAAAGACTGTCATTTTATTCTTTAAAAAATAAAAAATAAATAAAAAATAAATGAGTATTTAAGAATTTTTCAAGAATTGCACTTATTTTATCCTAAAACCTTAGTATAGGAGCAATAATTCTCCTGTGAGATTTGCTTTAGCTGCTCCGAAGGTTAGCTTTAGGAATTGCTGCTGGACTCTAATTTAAATCTCACAAGACTTTTCACAGAATGAGGGTTACCATCTCGACATGACCTACATGACCCTGAGGGACAAGACAAAAAATAAGACAAGCACATCCCACAATGCCACAGCTTTCTCTATAGACCTAAACACAAGGAGATGAGGTAAATAATCGCTCGCCCCACTGATCCTTGCACCGCTGCTGAGTTTTGGCAGACCAAGGCTACGCATCGTGCCCCCCTTTTGAATTCCACACACTGTTTGTGTCCATCAAGGAGGGCCGAGGCGCAATTGAGACACTCAGCAGCAGTGGCCCCATGTTGCGTCACTCCGCGCCACATCAAAACTGAAGAGCGGTGCCAGACAGGCACTCTCGTTCGCCGTTCTCGATCTTTCTCTCTCTGCCTCATGTCGATGGACAAGAGGACAATTAGAAGAAGGCTTTGTATCATCCAAACATCCTTAACCTCGACCTATGCAAACCAAGTCACGTACATTTACACACACATGGGTGCGCGTGTGCACACAAAAACACAAACCACTCCACCTCCTAACTTCTCGCTGGCATACGTTCAACCCCAGATGCTACAAATGAAAAGCATCCTCTTCACGCCAGCTGCTTCAGAGAAAAGGAAAAGAAATCAGAGAGAAATAATCGCCACCATTCCGGAAGATGCAGGAAAATAATTAACAAGGCTGAAACGGGGCCTGCGAGCAGACAAAGATGAAGCTCAAGAGGCATTTTGGGCTGCCAGGAATCCAGAGATGCTGAATTTTACACTGCTGGAGTGGCGCTGATGCTTTCCTGTTACACGCAAACACTGTATATTGTAACAGGGATCCTGCTACAGACAAAAAGCATGGTGTCAAAGGACAGCAACAGTTTACAATTACCACACAAGCAAAAGGCACAAGGGCCAAGTCTGCTCATGAGGGTGTGTGTGTGAGTGTGTGTACAAATGCAAAGTACATTCAACCCCATTTTATAGAAAAAGAGCAAGAACACAGCAACAAACAATATCAAATACAGCAGAACATTGCACTGTAATCAAAACCAAAATAGTTTTAGACATCTCTCATTGTAATGATTTTCATATTCTCTATTCTATACCCTGTTGGAAAACCCAGCTTAAGCTGGAAAACTGTAACATGGTTGCTGGTATCTAGTTGGTCAAAGCTCTTCCAAGCTGGTCATTAGCTAGTTACCCAGCCATGATGTCCCAAAATCCATCCTGACCACCTTTAGCTGGTTTGTTATAGGTCAAAGATGGTCTACCAGCTCAGACTAGCTAATGACCAGCTCGGACCAGGAAATAACCAGTTTAGGCCAGCTAGAAAATCAGCTACCAGTTGAGACTGGATTTTCCAGCAGGTAATTCATTTAAACAATCAATAAGCCAGCTGCAAGAAACTTGGAATTCAGGATTCTCACCAACTGTAATTGGTGAAGACTCAGATCAGTCTGTCCGGGGAATTCCAAGCAGAAGGGCCCCTGCAAGGCAAAGACGGACGTCCCGTGTCACAAATTGAGAACATGGTACACTCATCACTCAACCAGGGCATGAAGGCAAAAGTCATGACTTTTAAAACCACAAAAATGTCTAGCTATGTGTGCCACCCCTCTCCTTCCCTGTCTGTTTCCTCTCTGACTGCAGTGTCAGGCCGCTGCCAGGTACAAGCCCAAACATATCTCGCATACAACACACAACACACGCAGAATACGCAAGTGCATGTTTATTTACTGTGATTTGAGGTAGAGATGCACCGATTGCAATTTTCTTGGCCGATTCCGATTTCCGATTTTTTTGTTAGTGTGATCTGCCGATACCGATTTTTGCCGATTCCGATTTTCTTTCTAAGAACTATAATTGACAGCATATACAAACAAAAATCTACTTTTCTTCAACGCAAAGTTTTATTTACATAAAAAAACTAGTAAAAAGTCAGTAATAAAATAAGAACAAATAAAAAAAATGGTAAACAACAGCCCAAATAAATGCAATAGAATAAAGAGAGCTATGAAACCAAGTTTTTCAGGTTAAGTAAGTTTTTATTCAGGTAAGAAATACTACAGAAATTAAAGTAATCAAATGTAAAATAACACATCCAGTGTTATTTTACATTTGATTACTTTAATGTCTGTAGTCTTCATTGTAAAAATTAAATACAGATTAATGCTTACAATTAAAGTTATAAAAACATATTCAGTGAAGAGCAGAAAATTATTTTCTTTGTCTTTTGTTCTTTGATTAACATGACAGACAGCAGTAGGAATATTGGATTGCGGTCCCTTTAAGAGTTTATCCACGGACTCAATATACTGTTACACAACATGCGTTCTCTTTCTCAACTATTTAACGTTCCAAAACTGACTGTTTAACTGGATACTCGCCAAGACGGGCATTTTGACAATTTTTTATGGATTTGAACGTTTTAGCGCAGTTAGCCACTCATTTTGGTATTTGTGGCTCACAGGCTGTTTGAGACTGAGTGCGGTTTGTGTGCGCTCCACTAATATTGATCAGTTCTGGCGCGCGCGCTCTTGGTGTAAGCGCGAAACCTGCGGGAATGACTAAAATAATGCGCAATACAAGCATTTAACCGGAGCGAATGAGACGTGTGAGAGAGAAGGGGTCGTCGGAGAGAAGAGAGCGAGAATGTGCGGCTGACGTTATTGCCTGTGCCGCTGGTAACTAAACGGATCGGCATCGGAATCGGAAAGAAGTGAGACTGATCGGCCGATCACCGATCTGGGCCGATCATGAGGAAAATCGGCCGATTCCGATCCCTGGACGATCGATCGGTGCATCTCTAATTTGAGGTTGTGATATTGTTAGCATGTTGGCAGCGTCTACATCAACTCACTGACAAGAAGAGTACTGATGTGGCTTTAGGCATTGAGGCTCTGAACACCACGTTCCTGTTGCACCATGTCATCTGAGAAAAAGTTAGACTAGTAATGGCTTAAATTTTTCACAGAGGAAAAAAATCTGAATTTTCAACAGTCATTATTAACTCTTCATTGTCACACAATCCTTCCGAAATCAAGTTAATATGCTGATTTGGTGCTCATGAAACATTTCTAATTATTATCAATGTTGAAAACACAAAACAATATTTTTGTGGAAACTGAGATACTTTTTTTTCAGAATTGTTTGATGAATAGAACTTAAACAAATGAAATATAAGTCTTTTGTAATTTTATAGATGTCTTTACGTTCATTGTTGATACATTTAATACATCTTTGCTGAATAAAAATACTAATTTCTAAAAAAAAAAATAATAATAATCTTACTGACCCCAAACTTTTGAATGGTATTGCATCTCAAACGTTCCTCCCAAAATACCTTAAGACAACAGAAACAAATTATGTATGCACAATATGCTAATATTATAGAATTTACTAACACTGTTAAATGTAATCTATAAAAAATCTCAAAATGAATATTCATTAAACATACAGTATATCATAGTTTTGGGATGCATAATTTCATTGTAACATTTAAAACAACTGCTTTTTAGATTTATCGTAAATTTATTAAAATAAAATTAATTTGGCCTCTTAGCTGCCATACCATAAAATATTTATCGAAAAGAACATAGAATTTTAATAACTATTTAATATAAAAATGAGACAATCTAAGCAAATCAAACACTGGCAAATATGATTACAGTAAGTTAAGATCACTTCTGAAACTCTAAAGGAGACTAAACAGGACATCTCAGGATTCAAATCTGAGATTTAAAGTCCCCATGAAACCAAAATTAAAGTTTTTTGGGTGTTAGTATCAATATGTTAGTCTTAAGGTTATCTATAAGGCAGTGTGCTCCAAAACAGTGACAAAATTCGCATTTAGAAGATATAAGCATTCAAAGCTTGCAGTTCGTCACTTCCGCCAAAACGGCTCAACGATTTTTTTGACGTCACATCGTACTTCAGCTTCTCATCAAACTTTCTGTCCAATCAAATGCTCTCTAGAATCCAAAGCGCCCGCCCCTACACTATAAAATAGACACTGAAGCCGCAGCTGAAATTGGTCACTTGTCCACAGAATTTGTATTTTCTGTATAGTGAATGGCACGTAATGCACTATATAGGGGACAGGGAACGATTCAAACAGTGTAAATATGCTTTCCATTGAGGAAAAAAATAAGTCTGGTTTCGCGCTGTGTCACGCTAACCACCGCACCACACACACTCTGCTTCGGTCCAGAGACACGATAGCACAGAGCGGATCACATGCGCGAGTCGGCGCAGACCACAAAATGTATCGGAGCTATTTGAATTCTACACAGAATGCTATATTTTAAAGCAATATGGATGAGATTGTGGCTGGCATACCCTGTCAAATGCGGCTTTACGGAGCTCAACGGCTCTGAACGGCTCTAGCCCAAGCTGTGATATAAACGAACACTATTGGCTATTTTAAAAAGGGGTGGGGCTGCTTGATATGTCCCGCCCTGTCTTCCTGTTTCAGTTAAAATGACGTCAACACATAGAGTAACGTTGCGTGTTCCTAAGCATTTCAGGGGACCTTTAAAGTCACCATTTTAGCTCCATTTAATCTGTCTAGGAGAAACTATTATTTGAGACGTATTAAAGAGATCTCAAACATTGCCCTGCAAATTGTCATGTTAATTGGAACACACACAGTTGTGAGTTGCGAGCATCCTGCACTCACAAGGTTACATAACAATATAAAAGACAGAAGGGCTGATGACCTTGACACCAGGTCCCTCGTAAAAGCATTTGTTGACATTCCTTGAGTTTGGTTAAGGAAATGCTCCAGGGAGGCCTTTGATGCACTACACAAGAGAACAAGCTGAGGTGTTCTTCAAGATTTGGCAAAGGTCTCAGGACAAGTGACATCTCCTGGTTTCACACGGTCCTGTCAGGAGCGGCACAACTCCGGTTACAGTTACATACAACAGGCCGGGGTTACATCACTATTAGGGGTGCAACAGTTCAACTTACTCACGGTTCGGTTTGTATCACGGTTTTAGAGTCATGGTTTCGGTACGGTTCGGTATGTGCTATGTTTAGGGAAAAAACTATATTGTCAAATAAAAATAAAGAAAATAAGAACAAATAATCTAACTACAAGCAACAGCACAAATAAATAAACAGTGAAAAAAGATACAAATAAAATAAACAGTGCTTTTCAGTTTTTTTATGTAGGTCTAACATAGTTTTTAGGTACAGAAATGGAATAAATCAAATGTAAAATAACATTGCATATTTGACTGTATAAATTAAAGATGAATCCTTATTAAAGTTACAAAAGTTATTTTTTATTTCCGTGTTGTTGCTGTTTGATTAACATTAAGAAAGTGCTGTTACTTTAAGAGAACGCACTGATACAGTACGTTCAGCCGACTATGACTGCTAGGATACTCACCAAGACGGGCATTTTGACATTGAAATTTTTTTTCTATCTCATCGCTCTTGTTGCAATGTATTGGGAAGCCAGAATTTGTATCCATCAACAGAAACATGCATTAGCCGAACTCTAACAAACCATATTACAGATGCATTGTCAGATTTAAGTTGAACCGCGGTCCTAGAGTATGCCGAACCGTGTGTGGAGAACGGTACGGTTCGATTTTTTTCCGAGAATCGTTGCACCCCTAATCACTATGCACCAAACAGCACCAAAAATGACGGGAAGGAAAAGGCGGAGGCCTTACGGAGAATTAGGGAGCGAGAAAAGTGAGAAATAGTTAGTAGAAAAGGAAGGAGAGAGAAAAAAAATAAGTTGGTTCAGTGTCTTGTGGCTGTGACACTGGGGTCCTTATTAACAGCGAGGGGGCTGGGGTTTCCCAGCATGCCTCTGGACCTCCCAGCCATTGTCAAGCCTGTCCAGGTGCACCACCATTCAGTCCGAAAAAAAAGGCAGCAAATTACCCAGCAAAAACTACAGGCCTCGTGCTAGCTTGAGACGCTACTCCTACTCAGCTGGGGCCTGGGAAAAGGTCCTGCATACTTTATCTGTGTGAATAATTTACTTTACTCTTTATTTATAATGTTAATTTCAATACTCAACTTTAAGAACATTTTAAACTTCAGCTACGACAGACTTGTGTTGTGACATCAAACAGCAATCATGCCCTCATCGTACAGCGGTTCAGGTGGGAGGTCCCGCTCTGTCAAATCGGAACACATTCCATCACTTCCTAAATACCAATTAACATACAGGAACAGACCAGGACTCCTCCAGCTATTCTTCCAAACTCCACCCTTTCTATTCTTCCTCCTTTCCCTACGTTCTCACTGTTCCAGCGTTTTCCTGCAGTTGGTTCACTTGCACATAGTGCTTGCACGCATATGCACATTGCTGTGGGGCCTCGTGGGGAAATAGTTAACACTCCAGCCGTCCCCTGCTGCCTGTGAAAGCCCAGAAAACAATGGAGACATTGTCCAGTCTCAACAAGACTCGGAGCAAGAGGACAATGTGTGTGTGTAGTGCGCCTGCATGAGGTTGTGTGTGTGAGTGTATCCTTTTGCCTCAGCATTATTTTAGAGAGTAGCATTTAAATATGAACTTAAACTATGTCTATGGTAGATAGCCAGCAATCAATGAACTTCTATTTCACTGATTTTATCTGAATAAAATGAGTTTGATAAAAAAATTTACAACACATATACACAGTTTCCACTAACAATTTAGTATGTCACCCGACCTGCAAAATGACTGCACTGGCTTTGCCTTGGGTATGGTTATTGCACTTCCAACTCAAGTCAACTTAAAAAAAAAGAATTAATTAATAATAATAATAATAATTTGTAATATTATTAATATGTATTATTCTTTTTTATATCTATTTTTTAATTAGTTGCCCCTTAGTTCTCTGTCTGTGAAATAATCAGTACTTATTAATTTTGAAAACAAACTGAAATTGACATTTCCTGTGTAAGCAGACAGTTGTTGACCATAATAAAAAGCTGCCCAGATTTTATTCTGTGAGTCAAACATCTGGCTTTACCAGTTTTATATATGGCCTACACCAAGAAACGCTACACAGGAAAACACTGACGGACAGCTGTGCATGCAAGTCTAGCAAGAGAACGAGAACAGGAAACTGATCCCGGAACAAATGGCCAATGTGTCACAGATGTGGGGAAATCTATCGTTCCGTTGTTTCCAACTCCTTCCCACTAGAATTGCAATCTCATGATCCCCGCTCATACCGTGCTTGAGTTCAGACTCTGTCCGATGCCAAGTACACACCACATGTGTTTCGCAGTCTACCTGTCTGAATTGTCATGTCTATATTACAGTCTATATAAAGAAAGGGCTTTACAAATCACATTAAAAGTTAGTGGAGATGACAGTGGGACAAACGGCTTGTGGTACTTTGCAGTGATGTGTTCTTTATGACTTGTGAACAGGTAGTAAATGCATGCTGACTGTGTGGGACTAACAGGCTTTGAAAACCCTGCGGGGCTCTTGAGTACTTCAAACATCCTGGCACTGCCTTCTATGGGCGTGGACAGAAACGAGATGGTCACTTCCTGTGCTCTATTCATAGAGCAGCGTGGTGTAGCACCTCTATGGCCACATGTGACTGTAACAAAAAAAGATTATGTGTGAACTGTTTCTATGACTACAGTCACAGAGTTCGTGTTTAAAGGGGTCATTTGACATTGCTAAAAAGAACATTATGTTGAGTATTTGGTGTAATGAAATGTGTTTATGCGTTCATTTATGGTTCAAAAAACACATTATTTTCCACATACTGTACATTATTGTTTCTCCTCTA